CTCCTCAGCCCTCTGGATAATACTTTTAGTAAACCCACAGCTCCTAATCTCCAGACTGAATTCTCTGCATAATATTTGCATCACACATTGCCCTCAGACATATCTCCACTGCCTCCCGACTTCCTTGCTGCAACATACACACCTCATGTAAGAGTGTTGGTACCACTATTCTCGCATACATTCCCCTTTTTTGTCACTGTGGACACCGTTCTTGGTCTCCACAGATGCCTCAATGTACCACCCACCTTTTTTTCCCTCATCAGTTCTATGGTTCATCTTTTCTTTCTTAGACCCATCCACTGCCAGTTCCACTGCCAAATATCCAAATGCATTCACTTTCTCCACACTCCCTCCTTTCAATCTGATATCCAGTCATTCATTACCTGAACTTTTTGTTATCCTCATCACCTTGCCATTTCCTTATTTCACTTTTAATTTCCTTCTTTCATGTACCCTCCCAAATTTGTCTGCCAACCTTTGCAACTTCTCTTCAGAATCTCCCAAAAACACAGTGTCATTGGCAAAAACAACTGTAACAACTCCCATTTTGTATTAAATGCTGTATATTTTAATCCCACAACCTCTCCCCAACACCCTAATATTCACTTATTTTATAATCCCATTTATAAAAATGTTAAACAACCATGGTGAGATTATGCATCCCTGCCCAAGGACTACTATTACTGGAAAATAATCTCCCTCTTTCCTACATACCTTAACTTGAGCCTCACTTTCCTCATAAAACCTTAACTGCTCTGAGTAACCTACCACAGCACTGTATGGCCCTAGTGGGTTTTGTGCTTGATTTTCATTATAATAATAATCAGTAACCTATCATCTATTCCATACACTTGCAATATCTGCCACATTGCTTCCCTATCCTATGAGGCCTTTTCTAAATTCTTTAATGCAAAGAGAACTTCCTAATTTTTATCTAAATATTGTTCATTCATATGCTTTTTTTTTTTTTTTTATCACACTGGCCGATTCCCACCAAGGCAGGGTGGCCCGTAAAAGAAAAACTTTCACCATCATTCACTCCATCACTGTCTTGCCAGAAGGGTGCTTTACACTACAGTTTTTAAACTGCAACATTAACACCCCTCCTTCAGAGTGCAGGCACTGTACTTCCCATCTCCAGGACTCAAGTCCGGCCTGCCGGTTTCCCTGAACCCCTTCATAAATGTTACTTTGCTCACACTCCAACAGCACGTCAAGTATTAAAAACCATTTGTCTCCATTCACTCCTATCAAACACGCTCACGCATGCCTGCTGGAAGTCCAAGCCCCTTGCACACAAAAACCTCCTTTACCCCCTCTCTCCAACCTTTCCTAGGCCGACCCCTACCCCGCCTTCCTTCCACTACAGACTGATACACTCTTGAAGTCATTCTGTTTCGCTCCATTCTCTCTACATGTCCGAACCACCTCAACAACCCTTCCTCAGCCCTCTGGACAACAGTTTTGGTAATCCCGCACCTCCTCCTAACTTCCAAACTACGAATTCTCTGCATTATATATCACACCACACATTGCCCTCAGACATGACATCTCCACTGCCTCCAGCCTCTCCTCGCTGCAACATTCATCACCCATGCTTCACACCCACATAAGAGCATTGGTAAAACTATACTCTCATACATTCCCCCTTTGCCTCCAAGGACAAAGTTCTTTGTCTCCACAGACTCCTAAGTGCACCACTCACTCTTTTCCCCTCATCAATTCTATGATTCACCTCATCTTTCATAGACCCATCCGCTGACACGTCCACTCCCAAATATCTGAATACATTCACCTCCTCCATACTCTCTCCCTCCAATCTGATATTCAATCTTTCATCACCTAATCTTTTTGTTATCCTCATAACCTTACTCTTTCCTGTATTCACCTTTAATTTTCTTCTTTGCACACCCTACCAAATTCATCCACCAATCTCTGCAACTTCTCTTCAGAATCTCCCAAGAGCACAGTGTCATCAGCAAAGAGCAGCTGTGACAACTCCCACTTTGTGTGTGATTCTTTATCTTTTAACTCCACGCCTCTTGCCAAGACCCTCGCATTTACTTCTCTTACAAACCCCATCTATAAATATATTAAACAACCACGGTGACATCACACATCCTTGTCTAAGGCCTACTTTTACTGGGAAATAATTTCCCTCTTTCCTACATACTCTAACTTGAGCCTCACTATCCTCGTAAAAACTCTTCACTGCTTTCAGTAACCTACCTCCTAACACCATACACTTGCAACATCTGCCACATTGCCCCCCTATCCACCCTGTCATATGCCTTTTCCAAATCCATAAATTCCACAAAGACCTCTTTAGCCTTATCTAATTACTGTTCACTTATATGTTTCACTGTAAACGCCTGGTCCACACACCCCCTACCTTTCCTAAAGCCTCCTTGTTCATCTGCTATCCTATTCTCCATCTTACTCTTAATTCTTTCAATAATAACTCTACCATCCACTTTACCAGGTATACTCAGCAGACTTATCCCCCTATAATTTTTGCACTCTCTTTTATCCCCTTTGCCTTTTTACAAAGGAACTATGCATGCTCTCTGCCAATCCCTAGGTACCTTACCCTCTTCCATACATTTATTAAATAATTGCACCAACTACTCCAAAACTATATCCCCACCTGCTTTTAACATTTCTATCTTTATCCCATCAATCCCGGCTGCCTTACCCCCTTTCATTTTACCTACTGCCTTACGAACTTCCCCCACACTCACAACTGGCTCTTCCTCACTCCTACAAGATGTTATTCCTCCTTGTCCTATACATGAAATCACAGCTTCCCTATCTTCATCAACATTTAACAATTCCTCGAAATATTCCCTCCATCTTCCCAATACCTCTAACTCTCCATTTAATAACTCTCCTCTCCTATTTTTAACTGACAAATCCATTTGTTCTCTTAGGTTTCTTAACTTGTTAATCTCACTCCAAAACTTTTTCTTATTTTCAACAAAATTTGTTGATAACATCTCACCCACTCTCTCATTTGCTCTCTTTTTACATTGCTTCACCACTCTCTTAACCTCTCTCTTTTTCTCCATATACTCTTCCCTCCTTGCATCACTTCTACTTTGTAAAAACTTCTCATATGCTAACTTTTTCTCCCTTACTACTCTCTTTACATCATCATTCCACCAATCGCTCCTCTTCCCTCCCGCACCCCACTTTCTTGTAACCACAAACTTCTGCTGAACACTCTAACACTACATTTTTAAACCTACCCCATACCTCTTCGACCCCATTGCCTATGCTCTCATTAGCCCATCTATCCTCCAATAGCTGTTTATATCTTACCCTAACTGCCTCCTCTTTTAGTTTATAAACCTTCACCTCTCTCTCCCTGATGCTTCTATTCTCCTTGTATCCCATCTACCTTTTACTCTCAGTGTAGCTACAACTAGAAGTGATCTGATATATCTGTGGCACCTCTGTAAACATGTACATCCTGAAGTCTATCAACAGTCTTTATACCTACCATACATAATCCTACAAACTACTGTCATTTCGCCCTACATCATATCTTGTATACTTATTTATCCTCTTTTTCTTAAAATATGTATTACCTATAACTAAACCCCTTTCTATACAAAGTTCAATCAAAGGGCTCCCATTATCATTTACACCTGGCACCCCAAACTTACCTACCACACCCCTCTAAAAGTTTCTCCTACTTTAGCATTCAGGTCCCCTACCACAATTACTCTCTCACTTGGTTCAAAGGCTCCTATACATTCACTTAACATCTCCCAAAATCTCTCTCTTCCTCTGCATTCCTCTCTTCTCCAGTGCATACACGCTTATTATGATCCACTTCTCGCATCCAACCTTTACTTTAATCCACATAATTCTTGGAATTTACACATTCATATTACTCTTTTCTCCTTCCATAACTGATCATTTAACATTACTGCTACCCTTCCTTTGCTCTAACTCTCTCAGATACTCCAGATTTAATCCCATTTATTTCCCCCCACTGAAACTCCCCTACCCCCCTTCAGCTTTGTTTCGCTTAGGGCCAGGACATCCAACTTCTTTTCATTCATAACATCAGCAATCATCTGTTTCTTGTCATCCGCACTACATCCATGCACATTTAAGCATCCCAGTTTTATAAAGTTTTTCTTTCTCTTTTTTAGTAAATGTCTACAGGAGAAGGGGTTACTAGCCCATTGCTCCCGGCATTTTAGTCGCCTCATATGACATGCATGGCTTACAGAGGAAAGATTCTTTTCCACTTCCCCATGGACAATAGAAGAAATAAAGAAGAGCAAGAGCTATTTAGAAAAAGGAGAAAAACCTAGATGTATATATAATATATATATGCATGTGCGTGTCTGTGAAGTGTGACCAAAGTGTAAGTAGGAGTAGCAAGATATCCCTGTTATCTAGCGTGTTTATGAGACAGAAAAAGAAACCAGCAATCCTACCATCATGCAAAACAGCTACAGGCTTCTGTTTCACAGTCATCTGGGAGGACGGTAGTACTTCCCTGGGTGGTTGCTGTCTACCAACCTACTACCTCATATGCTTATTAACACTAATTCCTGATTTTTAAGTTCATTTGTCATTGTGGCATTAAGTGATTAAATTTTATATTTCTGGTTATGTTTTATGTGCTTTGTTTTTGTTAAATACTTTTCACTTATGTGCTACACAGTTTGTTCATATTTCCAATTTATCTTAGATTCACTATTTTTTTTAGGTGTAGAATCTATTATGTGGATCATTAAGGTGGCAGGTAACATATTCGTACACTACAAATTTTTTTTTATCTTTAATAAAATAGAGATTAAATTGTGCATTGAAATAGACCTCTGTGTATATATTCTTTGATAAAGCATTGTGGTTTTTGAAAATCTTGTTTGCTGCATATTTTTCATTTCAACCTAGCATTTTCATTTTTTTTTTTTTACTTAGTAACATAAGGAATGAAAAATTGTCCAACCTTACCATTTTTATTTTTGCTTTTTCAGATCAGCACCATCGAGGGAACTTGTTCACACTGTTCCTGCACTCTCCATTAATGGGCATGTGTTTAGTAAGCTCATTATGTGACGTTCCAATGAATTTGTGGGAGAAGTGTCAGACTCTAGTTGACAGATTCATCTCAGAAGCCTCCAGACTAGTCACTCGAGGAAGAAATGTTGGTAAGTTGCAAGGTTTAGCATAGCAGTTTTAGCCAGCTTACATAGTATAGTATACCCCCCAAAGTTCACACACTTAAAATCTTGGCACTTAGGAAACAACTAGTTTTACAAACTCTGAGCTGCAGTAGAAATGTGTGAAACATATCATTTGTATTGTTGAAATACTATTACTGTTACCATTGCTGTTACTACTGCTACCATTACTACTATTAATATTACTATTATTACTATTACTGCCATTACTATTACTTCCATTACTGTTACTGCTATTACTGTTACATCTACTGCTATTGCTATTATTGCTACTATTACTATTACTGCTACTGCTATTACTATTACCACTATATATTATGTAAGAAACTTCAAGCTATCGGTATAGGTTCTGTAGACTGGTTAAAGTCCTACCTTAGCAAAAGGAGACAAATTGTCAAAATCAACAAAATGGAATCAGAACCCTTGCCGATAGCATGTGGAGTTCCCCAAGGTAGTATTCTAGGTCCCTTATTATTCTTACGTTATGTCAGTGACATGCCTATCAGTGCCAAGTGCAAACTCCTACTGTATGCAGATGACAGTGCCCTGTTAGTGTCAGGTCAAGACCCACAAGATATAGCTAATGTTTTAACACTGGAACTGGAGTCCTGCAGCAAATGGTTAGTAGACAACAAACTATTATTACACCTTGGGAAAACTAAAGCCATTCTCTTTGGCACAAAACATAAACTGAGAAGGGTAAATAATTTTAATGTCCAGTGTAATGGGGAGCCCATCACTTTGGTTTCATCAGTAAAATATCTGGGAATCCCCTTTGACCCATGCATGTCAGGAGAATTGATAGGGAACAGTGTAGTAAAGAAAGCGAATGCCAGACTGAAGTTCCTGTATAGACAAGCACAGTGTCTACCTACTGAGGCTCGCAGGACCCTATGTCTAGCCCCTATACAATGCCATATGGATTACGCTTGCTCTCCATGGTACTCTGCCTTGACAAAAAAACTGGAAGATAGACTGCAAATCACCCAAAACAAAATCATAAGATTCATCCTGGAGCTGGGACCAAGAAAAGATGTAGGCCAGGATGAATTACAGCAGTTGGATATGCTGAATGTTGAAGACAGAGTAAAACAACTGAAGCTAAATCATGTTTATAAAATTGCTCACAAACAGTGTCCAGAATATCTTGCTGTCAATTTTGTCAAGGTTGGGAACCAAAGCAATCATAGTACTAGGGGGAGAGAGCACAACTTTGTAGTACCCACAGTCATTGGCCAGGCTTCAAACACCTTTTATTGTACAGCAATAAAGGAATGGAACAGACTACCCACACATGTCAAAGCCAGTCATAGCATGAACCAGTTCAAGAAGAGTGCCAAAAGGTGTCTGATGAATGTAGCTACAGAAAGGGAGGGGAATGATTTTCTATTTTTTAAGCTAACATACATGTAAATGAAATGAAAATGAAAGGGGGTAAGGCAGCCGGGATTGATGGGATAAAGATAGAAATGTTAAAAGCAGGTGGGGATATAGTTTTGGAGTGGTTGGTGCAATTATTTAATAAATGTATGGAAGAGGGTAAGGTACCTAGGGATTGGCAGAGAGCATGCATAGTTCCTTTGTATAAAGGCAAAGGGGACAAAAGAGAGTGCAAAAATTATAGCGGGATAAGTCTGTTGAGTATACCTGGTAAAGTGTATGGTAGAGTTATTATTGAAAGAATTAAGAGTAAGACGGAGAATAGGATAGCAGATGAACAAGGAGGCTTTAGGAAAGGTAGGGGGTGTGTGGACCAGGTGTTTACAGTGAAACATATAAGTGAAGAGTATTTAGATAAGGCTAAAGAGGTCTTTGTGGCATTTATGGATTTGGAAAAGGCATATGACAGGGTGGATAGGGGGGCAATGTGGCAGATGTTGCAGGTGTATGGTGTAGGAGGTAGGTTACTGAAAGCAGTGAAGAGTTTTTACGAGGATAGTGAGGCTCAAGTTAGAGTATGTAGGAAAGAGGGAAATTATTTCCCAGTAAAAAATAGCCTTAGACAAGGATGTGTGATGTCACCGTGGGTTTTTTAATATATTTATAGATGGGGTTTGTAAGGGAAGTAAATGCGAGGGTCTTGGCAAGAGGCGTGGAGTTAAAAGATAAAGAATCACCCATAAAGTGGGAGTTGTCACAGTTGCTCTTTGCTGATGACACTGTGCTCTTGGGAATTCTGAAGAGAAGTTGCAGAGATTGGTGGATGAATTTGGTAGGGTGTGCAAAAAGAAGAAAATTAAAAGTGAATACAGGAAAGAGTAAGGTTATGAGGATAACAAAAAGATTAGGTGATGAAAGATTGGATATCAGATTGGAGGGAGAGAGTATGGAGGAGGTGAATGTATTCAGATATTTGGGAGTGGACGTCGTCAGCGGATGGGTCTATGAAGATGAGGTGAATCATAGAATTGATGAGGGGAAAAGGGTGAGTGGTGCACTTAGGAGTCTGTGGAGACAAAGAACTTTGTCCTTGGAGGCAAAGAGGGGAATGTATGAGAGTATAGTTTTACCAACGCTTTTATATGGGTGTGAAGCATGGGTGATGAATGTTGCAGCGAGGAGAAAGCTGGAGGCAGTGGAGATGTCATGTCTGAGGGCAATGTGTGGTGTGAATATAATGCAGAGAATTCGTAGTTTTGAAGTTAGGAGGAGGTGTGGGATTACCAAAACTGTTGTCCAGAGGGCTGAGGAAGGGTTGTTGAAGTGGTTCGGACATGTAGAGAGAATGGAGTTACAGAGTGACTTCAAGAGTGTATCAGTCTGTAGTGGAAGGAAGGCGGGGTAGGGGTCAGCCTAGGAAAGGTTGGAGGGAGGGGGTAAAGGAGGTTTTGTGTGCGTGGGGCTTGGACTTCCAGCAGGCATGCGTGAGCGTGTTTGATAGGAGTGAATGGAGACAAATGGTTTTTAATACTTGACGTGCTGTTGGAGTGTGAGCGAAGTAACATTTATGAAGGGATTCAGGGAAACCGGCAGGCCGGACTTGAGTCCTGGAGATGGGAAGTACAGTGCCTGCACTCTGAAGGAGGGGTGTTAATGTTGCAGTTTAAAAACTGTAGTGTAAAGCACCCTTCTGGCAAGACAGTGATGGAGTGAATGATGGTGAAAGTTTTTCTTTTTCGGGCCACCCTGCCTTGGTGGGAATTGGCCAGTGTGGTAATAAATAAAAACATGTAAATTTTACCTTTATCCTAGTAATGACCCTCGTGTAGTAGATAGTCTTTTTAGTATGATAATAAGATGTTATCTTCATTATAGAATAATAAGAAAATATTATAACTATATTATAATAATAAGGTAAAAGGACCCAATGGAAATAAGTCACTGTCTGACTTTTTTGGGTTATCCCAGGTTCTCTACACATATGCTGCTATGTATGATAATTCTATGTAACTGTATTTGTGTATACCTGAATAACCTTGCTTGCTTGCTTACTTACTTATTACTGCTACTGTTATTACTAATACTTCTATTACTTATGTTACTATTACTGTTATTACTATTACTACTGCTGTTACTATTACTACTGCTGTTATTATTACTACTGCTATTACTATTACTACTGCTATTACTATTACTACTGCTATTACTATTACCACTGCTATTACTATTACTACTGCTATTACTATTACTACTGCTATTACTATTACTACTGATATTACTATTACTACTGATATTACTATTACTACTGATATTACTATTACTACTAATATTACTATTACTACTGCTGTTACTATTACTGCTGTTACTATTACTGCTGTTACTATTACTGCTGTTACTATTACTGCTGTTACTATTACTGCTGCTGTTACTATTACTGCTGCTGTTACTGTTACTACTGCTGTTACTCTTACTACTGTTGTTACTATTACTACTACTGTTACTATTACTACTACTGTTAGTACTACTGTTACAACTACTGTTACTATTACTACTACTGTTACTATTACTACTACTGTTACTATTACTACTACTGTTAGTACTACTGTTACAACTACTGTTACTATTACTACTACTGTTACTATTACTACTACAGTGAAACCTTGGTTTTCAAATTTACTTTGTTCCAGATGTCGATTTGACAACCAAACCAATTTTTCCCATAAAGAATAATGCAAATAGAATTAATCCATTCCACACCCCAAATGACAATATAATAAATTAATAATGTACTATTACATAAAACAATGTATAAAATTATACAGAACAGGGAAACTGTAAAATTGAATACTAAATGAAAATTTAACTGAAATACTGTATAGTAAATGAAAATTTAAATGCCTCTTATGTCAGAAGAGAGCTTATGTTGTTTCTCAACTTTGTCTCTTTTCACTACTAACACCTTATTCTGGCTCACTGGTTCTTTGTCACAAAAACCCTGTACAGTGAGGTTTGTTTCAGACTCCATTTTAACACTTGTCTAAATCAAGGCATTACACTGTCGTTGTACATGTTAGGGAGACAGATGGCCACTGCTTTGTCTGCATGGTATTTTTCAGCAAACTCCTGCACTTCATGCCACTTAGCACACATTTCCTTGGCAAGTGCAGTGGGCACATCATCCCTTCCCTCCTCTTCCTCTGATGACAGCTCCTCCACTGCAGTCTGTTGCTGCTCCGTCTATGAACACATCACCTGAGCTGCTTTGGCCTGTTGGCAGCGGCAGCGGCTGCGGCGGCTGCGGCGGCGGCGGCGGCGGCGGCGGCGGCTGGCTGCGGCTGCGGCTGCTGCGGCGGCTGCGGCTGGCGGCTGCGGCTGCTGCGGCTGCGGCTGCTGCGGCTTGCTGCTGCGGCGCTGCTGCTGCGGCTGCTGCTGCGGCTGCTGCTGGCGGCTGCGGCTGCGCTGCGGCTGCTGCTGTGCGGCGCTGCTGCGGCTGCTGCTGCTGCGGCTGCTGCTGCTGCGGCGGCTGCTGCTGCTGCGGCTGCTGCGCTGCGGCTGCTGCTGCTGCTGCGGCTGCTGCTGCTGCGGCT